GGCCGCGTCCGGCGGCGTAGACGACTTGGAGGCCGCGTCCGGCGGCGATGACGACTTTGAGGCCGCGGCAGGCGGCGATGACGACTTGGAGGCCGCGGCAGGCTGCGATGAGGCCGCGTCTGGCGGCGAAGAGAGGAAAACTCAGGAGACACAGGAGAACACTGAAGACCCAACGAATACGACGCGACGAGGAACAAGACAGAACAGACAGCTTTTATACAAGGACAAAACGAGACGTGATTACAAACAGCTGTGACAAGACAAGGGTGACACCAATTAAACTGAAGAGAACACACAAGGGAAACACAGACACAAACCGAGTCCACCAAATGGTACCATCCTTACATTACCAGCATATTTAAAACATTATTATGACTGTCAAGATTAGAGAGGTTGGTTTTGAGTTGTAAATAATGTCTCCAAACTCACATTAATATGGTTATCCTAAGCTGTGACTGGTAGAAGGCCAGTTCAGTCTGACTCTGCGTTTATTCTAGAGAAGATTAAATAATTTACTGACAAACAGCACTGTTTTGGTTGTAAGGTTGTTAAATTAAACTTATATTACATTTAATTAGCGCAACCAGTCAGTATCTTTGTACCATGATGTGACTTTTAATCAACTACAAGTTTATTTACGCACATTCTCCTGTGCACTTTAGCTCTGGAGACCCAGACCGTGGCCCTTGGGAGACCTTGCCTGTAAGCTGACGATGTTCCTGTCAGAGTGCTGCACCTTCTGCACCATCCTGCACATCACCTTCCTCTCACTGGAGAGGTACCTGGCAGTGTGCTGGCCAATCACAGCAAAGACGGTTGTGACTCGGCGCAGGACCAGGGTGATAATTGGCTGCCTGTGGCTGGGTGCTGCAGTCAGCGCTGCCCCGGTGTTAGTCATGGTTGGAGTGGAGGATGTTGGAGGAGAGGAGCTCGGCCTCACCCAGTGGAGGGAGGAGAGAGGACGGACGACCAGAGAGGGAGAACAGGGAGGGCTGATGATAGGTGGAGAGGAAAGAGGAGCTGCACACTTGGCCTTGATAGATGTAGAACTAGATGAAGCAACGTTAGGAGAGAAAGAGACGGGACGATGGGGTGGAGAAGACAGAGAGATCAATTTTAAAGCAGGGGAGGTAAATGAGTGGAAACAAGGAGGTGAAGGTGAACCACAAGATAAAAAAGGAGCGGTCGATGAGGCCAATGGAGAAGAATGGATGGAAGATCAGCAAAACAAAAAGAAGGAAGATGAAGGAGGTGGAAAAGAGGGAGCTGAAGGAAGCCGTGACGGAGAGACTGACAGGAGAGAGTGTCGCTGCACGCACTATGCCATCTCCTCAGGCCTCCTGTCGGCCATGATGGTTCTGTCCAACTTGTACTTCCTGGTACCCCTCTGTATTCTTGGGCTTGTGTACAGCCTGATTGGACGGACACTTTGGCTCCGCCCAAAAAGCAGCAGAAGAGATCAGAGCCACCGAAACACCGTCAAGATGCTGGGTGAGGCAAAAAGACACAAACACACCACTGACTGAACAATCTGTGACTAGAAACAGAGTCAAGATTCTCAGGACTGATGACACATCAGCAGGACTGTCATAAGGTCTTTGCTGCAATGAATGTGAAATGAAAAATTGGCAACGAGGTAAAGGTTTAAAAAACGTTTGCAGAGTTTGAACTGCTACAAAATTATGAGTTGTTTTAAGACGACAACAATCTGCTCTGTAAATGTCAGCAAGGTGAGCAATTATTATCTCATCAACATGGTCCAAAGCAGATCCCGCACCCTTAAAACAATTTTAGTTTTCAGAATTTAGTGGTTTATTTGATAAAACTCTCCAAAGTAACATACAGTAGTCCCTCGCTACTTTGCGGTTTGACTTTCGCAGACTCGCAGTTTAGCGGTTTTTCAACGATTGTCAACTTTAATATTACTCGCATGATTGGGACAGTACGGCATAAACAAATTAACAAAACAAAAAAAAAAACTTCAGACAGGTGCCACCATTTTGTAATTTTTCTTTCAGTAAGCCTACACCGTATTTCCAGTCAAAAGAACCACAATACCCAGAAGCCAACAGTGCTTCCAGCTGCTGCTTTCTGCCAAAATGGAGGGAAAGTTTTGCAATGCAAATCTACACTCACAGAACTGACAGAAGTCGCAAATAATCCTGAAGTTCAATTTATCCACGCTAGGGCTGAACGATTTAGGAAAATATTCTAATTACGATTTTTTTTTTAACCTCAATATTGCAATTTCATATGCAATTATTTTTCAGTGTCTTCTTCTCATGTATTTTTCAATGAACACAAGCATTAAATCTGTTTCAGTTGTAAAAAAACACAGTTTTCAGTTCCGCTGCAGCTCTGTTTCTGCATTTTATGTGTAGCTCCAGGATAGCATCTTGGCTAAAATGTGTGCACGAGGACATTTTGTACCACTTATCCATTGTGTTTACCAAAACCATAAACCCAGGCTTGGTCACTATATTAATGGGCATCATGTCTTTTGCTATGAACTACGTTATTGCTCGAGTTATTTCCGCGTGCTGTTCATACGCAGTAACACCTTCAAACAGTTCGGTCAGTGGTCCCTGTCGGCTGCTACTTTGCTTACTTTAAGTTGAAGCACTGGTCGTTGACATTCTAGCCACGCAACTATCATAAATGGCTTTGTGGTGTTTTTTAAGAGTTGATAAAGAGGTAGCAACAACAGCAAGGCAAGTTCTGCACAATACATGTCGTTACACAGCGTCTTCTTTTTTTTATAGCCAAAATAATTCCAAACAACGGTCGTGCTGTCCCTCTTTGGTGCCAAACTTTCAGACGTGTCAGCTTCTGTTGAGCCTGACGCCATTGTGCAACCAGTTAAGTTGCAGTGTTGACCTCCCGCTCCCTGCTCTGCTTTGCTCTCCTCACAAGTCACGTACCCAGACCATGTGACCTGTCAAATTGCAGCCTTTGCAATTAGAAAATCTTGTTTCATCACATCACGATATTATTGCATATATTAACTGTTCAGCCCTAATCCACGCGCACATCACCCTGGACGAGGCGGTGGGCTTCGTCACTGCAGGGTTGGTCTGCAGCTCCGGAATCGAGTCGGACCGGAGCCGAGCTGCTGCTCTGCAGAGCTAGTGAGTAAAATTTTGTAGTACTGTACAGTACATGTACGTATGTTGTTAAAATTACAGGTTGCAGAGTTAGAACATTGCAAGAGTATGGGAAGGGTTTATAAAGCCTTAATTTACTCAAATAAACATAATGTTCCTTCTTCGCTGTTTTTCACTGTCGCAGGGGTGTTTGGAACATAACCCCCACAGTAATCGAGGGACTACTGTAATTTATATCTATAAATCTTTACATTTGATCATTTTTTAGACGTCTAAAAGCAAAACAAGATTCATGTTTAAGCACATTTGCACATGGCTCATAGTCACAAACACACTTTAAGATCACAGTAGTGTCACGAGTTTCTCTGCTGTCTGTCGTCGCCTCCCTCAGGAGTGATCGTCTTGGCGTTCGTCCTGTGCTGGCTGCCCTTCCACGTCGGTCGGACCATATTCTCCCTTTCTCTCGGCTCCAGCGCCGACAGACAGGAAACAAGTGCAGACCCGAGCTCTGACTTTGATACGCTCACTGACGCCAACGAAGATTTGAGCACCCACACAGATTCTGAAGCCTTCCCACAGTCTGATGCCCACTTTTTCGAGTCTCTCCCCCAGCCTGGAAAGTTGACTGCAGACTCTCTCACAGAGACGGATGAAAGGCTCTGCGACGTGTGTGCGAGGACCAAAGTCAAAATCAACGCTCGCAGCAACTACTTAGGCACAGATGAACACATAGATTCTCCTTTCTCCACACAAACTGACTTAGACCATGGGAACACGGACACAAGCATGCAAAATCCTGGCAATAAAACAAAAACACTTATAGAAACACACAATGATTCATCTGTAGTTAACTCCACCGGCCTCTATATTCACAAGCCACATGAAGACTTAAACAGCACGTACTCACACCCAGACACACACGTGTACTTTTTGTACTATTTGTCTCAGTACTTTAACCTCGTGTCGTCCGTCCTCTTCTACCTCAGCGCTGCTGTCAACCCGTTGCTGTACAACCTGATGTCTGGCAGGTACAGACTGGCAGTCCGCAGCCTCGCGCAGCAGCGCTCTCGGACTCACACTCACCGCCTGCGCACCATCACCGCACGGCACTCCACAACCACTTTGTGACGGGAAGCACGGCGTGCACGTAAAACAGCGTACAAGTGTTACGTGTAAACCCATGACGTAGTTTGATGTATTTCACTGGCGGTGGGAATCTTTTGATATAAAAAGGACACGTGAGTTGTTGGTAAGTTGTTTTGTTGATGTGACTTCTGATGTGAAAAGCACGAGGCAGTATGGGTGATCAGCTGAATACTGTTTGTCACGTTTTATACTTAGTTTTGAGTGAACTGAACTTTAAATGATCAAATATTGACACCACTAGTTATGTTCAAATGAATTATTAGTTATTTTTGAGCTCCTTGCTTCATCCCTAAGGGCTAAAGAAGACTCCAGCCACTCTCAGATGAAGACATTTTTAACCACTTCAGCTTGAGATCTCAATCTTTGGTCACCACCAGGGGCGATTCTAGGATCTGACCTTTAGGGGTGCTTAGCCCCCAGAACTGACAATGGTTCATGGCTTGAACAAGCATGGTGTGGTTTGTGAGAAGTTCAAAAGCTTACAGCACCTGGTATTCTCAGGTGGTCTCCCATCCAAGTACTAACCAGGCCTGACCCTGCTTAGCTTCCAAGATCAGGTGTGTTCAGGGTAGTCTGGTGATCAACAAGGAGATCAGTCACAAACAGGTTTCAAAGGATTACAGCCAACACAGACCAAACTTATGAAACCAGACGTTACAACATATATCTACATAAAAACACACAAAACAAAACACAACTATCTTTAAGCGTTAACCTTTAATTTAACCATTAAGCATGCAATGTACAGTAGTTATGACAGACAGTGGAGGATTTATTTGCAGTTACCTTCGTACAGATGAACATGCGGTACTTCCTGTTTATCACCGTTGGATCCAGCTGCTCATGAGGTCGGCCGCAGGGCTTTATCATCTTTTACATTTTTCCAGTCTCAGTTTAGGTTTTAAACAGGTCTCACTTGTAAATGAGTCTTCGAGGCTCAATGTGACTTATATGTTTAAATAAAAACTGAATGAATGAATAAAAAAATGAAATGAAATAAACTGTATTACATTCTCTAAACACTCAGGGTAACACATGTCTGAATTATATGTTCTCCACTGACAATTTTCTGATGATTTTTCACAAAATTCCTCTGACCGCAAAGTGTTCATAATGCAAAACTCTGACAATGTTGTTGGAGAAAAAGGGGGTGGAGCTCCTGCAGGTAAGGGGCGTTCACTTGGGGACAAATTGAGGTCACTGATTGGTCATTTACCGACAAGCCTGCTGAACTGATTGACAGAGGGTCTGACTCATGCAAAAAAAAAAAAAACACCATAATTTTACTGGCCCGTTTAAGACTGTCATCATTTATTCCATATTTATTCCAAATGTATTCAATATTTCGGTGAATCTAAGATTTGAGAACTAAGCTTTAATGCACAATCCTAATGATGGTTTCTTAAAATTTAGGGGCGCTTGAGCATCCCAAAAAGAAGCTAAAATCACCACTGGTCACCACACTCCAAAACCAAGATTTATTTTTCTAGTATTACGTCTTTGTTTTGACACAACTTCTGAGAAAATAGGGCTGTGAAAGTTTATGCAAAAAAGTCACTTTAACGCTGTTAAAATATTAATATAAACAATAAAAGGTAGATTCTGAGTGCTAATCCAAGCTGTACTGAAGTTAAATGTGATCAATACAGCTCAACCCTTGTCAGTCATTTTCTCATGTAAAGCATGTCAGATCCAGAAGTGACAGAAAATGCATATACAAAATAATAATAATAATAATAATAATCACCATATTCACTCAGTTTTTGAAACAAACTTACTCTACGAGAGTGCACATTTTAAATGAAATTCTGCATAATGTTTAAATACTCAGACTTGACAGACTAGAGAACGATCAAACTGATTCATGTAGTTTCATACAGGCTTTGTTGTGTTCGGTGTAATATACAGAGATTACGTGCACCGACGTGTCCGGGGCTGCTCTAAATGCCTTTATTTGATTCACAGTAAAGGTTTTATCACCTGCGAGGAGGCGGTTGTGTCAGCAGGAAACTCTCCTGAACGCATTTCCTGAACTTTAATGGACGGATCGGCCTCGAGCGGAGGAACAATTGATCTGATTGTCTCTGTAATCCAGGCTGTGTCTGAGGGGAGGTCAGGTCCCCACCCCCACCCTGAAGAACCGTGTTCCTAACACATGTTCTTCCAGAACGGACTTCAGTTTGTTTCATATGTATGTAGTTTATAAAGTAACAATTCTGTTTTGCTCTCCAACGTGTTGGTGGATTGAAGAACGGCTCTGCACGTCTCTCCTCGCTGTAGAGCCGTCAGGGTGAAATCATGTCACATTTTTTAATGCCTTGCTTGTATTTGAAAACATCATCTTTAGAAATGGTTGCCAAATAATCCTGTTCTTGTTTACCTGATATGGATGTTTATTATAGGCTTTGCTTATAGAATATCAAACGTTTGCTACCTCACCAAAACTTTATTTTCTCTTCTGTTAAATATTGTAATTTAAAGCCATAAAAGCTGTCAAAATACTGAAATGTTTTAGTGTTTTGACTGTAATTTTTAGGCTTTTTACATGATTTTTATACCTTTAATGGGGTTAATATACTTTGTATGTCAGACTTGTGGTTTTTGTAAAACTTGTGTTAGAAAACAGCAAAAGTTCCTTGCTTTGCTTCATGAGTGAATTTGGTGCTCAGTTCCGATCAGTGAAGATTAGTTATCAAAATTCTCCCGTTAGCGTTCTGAATATTTGAGCACAGATTATTTGCATAAAAACCTATCACCAACTTTATTTTTTACTCTCTTTACTGCTCGATCTACTCCTCCAAAAATTAATTTAAATTTAAATGTTAGTGAAATGTGCACATTTAGTGGCTGTTTGGCATATTTTGACAGTTATTGTGACTTTAACATACTGTATAAGCATTAACATAAAAACACTGAATTATTTTATGCAGTTATAGACAACTGCTTTATATGAGCATATGTATGTGTAAGGGTGGAAATCTGGAAACTGTCTGAATCTGAATTGACACGTTACAATCAGAAAGTTAGAAGCAAGGACCAAAATGTAGTTGTCAGAAGTTTCCTGTCACTCATCATGTGCATGAAATTCTGATTTGTTTTGGGCTTTTAATTATTTATCCTGACCATCTTTTTCCAGTGTGGAATGGTTTTATGACATAAAAATATATTAATATTCCATCCATTATATTTACCCGCTTCTTCCTTTTTGGGTCACAGGGGTCACTGGTGCCCATGTCCAGCAGTCACAGTGTGAGAGGTGGGGGACACCCTGGACAGGTCTCCAGTCCATCACAGGGACACATGGAGACAAACAACCATTCACTCTCTCACTCACACCTAGAGACAATTTAGAGTTACCAATCAGTCTAACATGCATGTTTTTGGTCTGTGGGAGGAAACCGGAGTATCTGGTGAAAACCCACGCATGCACGGAGAGAACATGCAAACTCCACCCAGAGCGTACCCGGCTGGGATTTGAGTCGGGGCGACCTGCTCGCTAAGAGGTGGCAGCTCTACCAACTGTGCCACCGTGCTGCCACATATTAATATAAAATAAAGTTTGTCGCACAAGTTTAAATTGATGGTGAAATTTCTCCAATCCAAGATTGCTGGTGCGGTCTGGGACCTTTCTGGATGAACTTTACATGTTCTCCCAGTGCACAAGTGAGTTTCATTGTAAGAGTAGCACTTGCTGCAGCTCCAAGATGAGCTCCAACACTACATAAGGCTGCAGTCAAGTTCTACTCTTCTCTGGAGCATTGATTCCTCTCTCATCATCTTGTCGTTTGGATCCAGTCCTGGTGCGCCTTGGTCCTGAGCCTCGTTCTTTGTGCCTTGCCCTCCAGCCACTTGCCTGTCTTGGTCTGCTCGTTGGATTTATCACCTCTGGAAGCCCTTGGATTCACCACAGAGCCTATCTGCAAAATCCACCTGTGAGGAGAGAACAAACAAATCATCATTACTACTGCTGCTCCCTTTGCCAAACTCTCCTGACCATGTCCTTCCTCTTCCAGGGGTTCCAGTCCACCACCTGTACATATGTATATAGACCTTCACTGTAAATAATCAACACTGTTCACTTTCTAGCCTGAGTCTTGTGTCGTTCTGGGTCTCGTTACTAACTGGGTGTCCTGAGTCACAACATTCATCCCACAGACCATAAAGGTGCATATTAGGTTCATTAGTAACTCAAGGGTGCCCAGTACGTCGATCACAGTCTACAGGCCACTCTCGAAGGTATTATGTGTAGATCACATGACATTAAAAAAGTAGACATCAGCCTCTCATCCATCTATGAAATTTGTCACTTGACTAACAGACAGAGCAGACAGCCCCGTTTACACGACTTGAAACGTTCGGCCGTTCTTTTACAGACAACAGCCTCGTTCTCTCTGAAACTGAAGGTTTCTGAATCCAGGTCAGAGTGGAGATTTTCAGGGGAACTCTCCACGAGGTGTGAAGTTGCTCCATGAGGTCACACATGCGCACTACAGGCGGCTGCAGAGCAAAGTTTTTCTGCCGTAACAACAGCTATAATAAATATAATAGTTATTTATAATAAATAACAGTTATAATAAATAACAGTTATAATAAATATACCAGTTATTTAT